CCGGGCATCCCGTGGTGCTGGGTCCTCGCTGTGGAGAGACAGCGCCCCGCGTCTCCTCCTCTCCTCTCCTCTCCTCCCTCCTCCCCCTCCTCCCTCCGACGGCTTCGTCTCCTCCTCTCCTCCCTCCTCCCTCCTCTCCTCCTCCTCCTCCCTCTCCTCCCTCCTCCCTCCTCTCCTCTCCTCTCCTCTCCTCTCCTCTCCTCTCCTCTCCTCTCCTCTCCTCTCTTCTCCTCCCTCCTCTCCTCCTCCTCCTTCCCCTCTCCTCCCTCCGACGGCTTCGTTGCTCACTCTCACCCTGCCTCTGGGCCAGGAACCGTTCCCTCCTCAGGCCGGCCTTGGCCGGCAGGCTGCGCTTCACTGACCAAGTCGCCTTTATGAGACACCCAATGTCGACGAGTATCAATGCACAGGTCGACAGCTTCCCCTTTCGATTGCAATTGCAAGTTGTATGTAGTCTCCCGCGCGGGCTCACGGCTAGCAGCTTGCATCCAGCATACAGATTTTCCACGCAGAGTCGAAACGGCAACACTCGCTGTGACCAGACGACAACACACCAAATGATAGATTTAACCACGCACGACCGCGAGGAATGCTGGCTTTGGGGAAAAATGCAAGAACTCCTCCCATCCCTTGCACCCCTCACTCGCTTCGTGGCCCCATAGGGCGCGCCATTGAAGGCCCACATGCCAGCGTTCGCACGCGCCCACCGCACTCATTTGGGCACACCCCTCACACGTTTCGTGGCCCCATGGGGAGCCCCACTGACGGCCCAAGTGGCTGCGTTCGCATTCGCCCGCCGCACCCATTTTGGCACACCCATCACACGCTTCGTGGCCCAATGGGGGGTTCCACCGACGGCCCCAGTGGCATTTTGGCACACCACTCACTCATTTCGTGGCCCCAGGGAGCTCCTCCGAAAGCAGTGCATACATCGACGGAACTCACAGCTGCATATGGGTACTTCGCCAGGCTAGATTTCTATGCTTCTAGAAGGGGTCCGAGTACATGGGATCGGAGGGTTGCACCGCATCGCCGATGTATCCGCGATGCATCGGCGACGTCGGCGATGCCTCGGTGACGACGGCATGGAGAAAATCGGGCCCTAACTCGAGCCGCATCGGCGGTGCATCTGTGATGCGGCGCCATCCTCCGACTCCATCTACTCGGACCCCATCTGGGAGGCCTAGGCATGCATGACCTGCCCCATGCCTCCCTCCCTCTTGCCCTCCCTCCCTCCTTCCCTCCCGCCTGGCCTGCCTCGCTCCAAGCCTCCCTCCTACCCCTCCTTGTCCCTCTTCTACCTCCTCCCCCCTTTCCCCCTCCTCCTCTCTTCCTCTCTCCTCCTCCCTCTCCCCTCTCCTCCTACCCGCTCTCCCCACTCTCTCACCGCTTTCCCCCTCTCCTCCTCCTCCTCCTCCTCCTCCTCCTCCTCCTCCTCCTCCTCATCATCATCATCATCATCATCATCATCATAATCAGCAGCAGCTGCAGCATCAGCATCAGCATCAGCATCGGCATCAGCAACAGCATCATCAGAATCACCATAACCATCATCAGCATCCTAATCATCATTATCACCATTATCATCAGCATCATCACTATTATCATCATCAGAATCGTCACCATTGTCATCATCATCATCATCATCACCACCATCATCATATCATCATCATCATCATCATCATCAGCATCAGCATCATCATCATCATCATCAGCAGCAGCAGCAGCAGCAGCAGCATCAACATCATTATCAACATCTGATTCTTTTCCTTATAAGTGACCCCTTCCTGTCGCACACCCAGATATGTCAGTAAGGCGGGCCAGGCTTTTCGCCTGAGACTTCATCACCATTTGTGAATATCAAGCGTGAGACTTGCAACAGTTTCACGGATGGAGGGGGGCTGTTTTCAATGTGTGGATCTCACCGTAGCGCCGCGCACATTCGTCTCACATGTTGTATAAGCTATGGATGGAGAGCTGGTAATTTTCCAACTTTGGATCTCGCCGTAACGCCACGCATATTCGTTTTAAGCTGTTGCAGCGGCTTCAAAGATGAAGCTGCAAAGACGGAGAGGGGGTGGTTTTCAAAATGCAGCGTTCGCCTTAGCACCGTGACCAGTCGGCGTTTCCCCTATATCCTAAGATGTTTTTTGTTATTACTCGGACGCCCCCGCCTCACCTCACACCCGCCTCCCTCGTGCACTCGCACCCACTCATACTTAGACTCGGATTCACTCACACTCAGACTCACTCATACGCAGACTTTCTCACGCTTCGACTCACTCCTACCCACTCGCCCTCTTTGCTCACAACGCGATATAGCAGGCGTGACACTTGGGCACCCCAGGGGAAGCCGCCAGGGGTGGGGACACACCACGGTTCGGGTCCAGATTGTGGGGATGTCTCGGCCGGTTTGCCTGTTTGCATGCGCACCATCTTGCGCTTTCGGAGCAGTCTGTGAGGATGTCCCAGGCGAGGCGCTGGTTTCAGCACTCCGAAGGGGGAGTCGCCAGGGTGGAGGCACTCGAGGATGCGCGCCCATTGTGGGGATGTCTCAGGCGGTTTGCCTGTTTGCATGCGCAGCATCTTGTGCTGTCGGAACAGTCTGTGAGGATGTCTCAGGCTCAGGCGGGCCGCTGGCTCCGTCGCCCCAAGGGGGAGCCTCCGGGGAGTATATCGCGGGCCCGTTCGCGGTCAGACCCCAGACTCGTCTGCGTTCAAAGCACACTGTTGGGATATTTTAAGCAGGGCGCTGGCTCCAGCACCCAAAGGGACCCAGACTGTGGGGATGTCTCAGGCGGTTTGCCTGTTTCGGTGCCAAGTACATGTAGCCTGAGTTCACACTCGCACTCGGACTGTTCACACTCAGAACACTCACACTCACACTCGCAACCATTCAGACCTCTCGCGCCCACACTCACACTCATATCCTTTCAGACATCCCACAGTCACACTCACGCTAAGACCACTCACACTCAAACGCAGTCAGACCTCGCACGCTCACACCCACCCTCAGACTAATCACAGCCACTCACACGCATGCGCATAAACTCACTCACACCCAGACTCACTCACAGTCAGAGTCATTCACACTCAGACTCACCTGCTCTCAAGGTGTCATACTCAGACCCGTTCATGCTTAGACTCTCTCGCACGCAGACGCTCGCAACGAGAAATGTATGGGCACATGGATGAACATGTAGGGATCTCCGCGTCGAATGATTAATGCAACAGCTTCTAAGATGGAGGGCGGACCCTCGTTGTAACGAATTGCAGCTCTTTCGAAGATAGGCAGGGCATTTCTTTTCACAATGTGGGCCTCACCTCAACGCCGCAGACATTCGTGTTAAAAGCCTGCCACGGCTACGTGGATGGATGGCAGTTCCTTTT